GTATTTAGATTTAGATTTGGATATTGGACCATCATAGATAAAATTCCCATTTCAATTTTTTTCAGTTCTTTGACCACATTAATTCTGTGTCAGAATCCTATGCTATTTCAAATAGTAAATCACAATTCAAGTTCAGAGCTGTATCAAGTTTGAATGTAGTGTCCACAAGCTTGGCCCGTGGAGCATTTTATTCTATTTTTAAACAAAATTTCACTGCTTTATATGTGATAGAAGTTTCTGATAATGTGATTATTACTGTATAGTATTTAGGATCAGTACAATTATGATCATTGATGGTTTCCAGATCATTGAACAAAATAAACTGAAAAGTAACGAAAGTCAAACACCCACATGAAGTACTTTACTATCACAATTTTCTGTGAAAAGTTTACTTGTTATGTAATTTTATTAGTGCACCCCTCTCCAGTCAGGATCACTAATTTCGTGAAACCCCTGAGGTTAAGCCTTAAAAGGTAAATTCAAATAGTAGCTGTATATATACACTTTTCAATATTCACAACTAAAATCCAACATTGCTTTCAATTGACGTGTGCAAGAATCTACACACAATTACATATTTTCAAGAAAGGTGTTTTAATATCATCATTACGATACTTTATTGATCTTTATTCTATTCACAGTAAAATTATTTCAGATCAAAAGCAAAAAAAAATCAGAAACAACTTTTTGGTGACCAGTCAGCGGTCTCGGGTTTGATGTGTTTGAACTTTTGATTTTGCCATTTGATTGGGGACTTTCCATTTTGAATTTTCCTCGGAGTTCAGTATTTTTGTGATTTTACTTTTCACGTATTGCTTTTCTTCTTTTAAGTAAAGCATCTTGTCTTTATCTGAAGTGATAAGTGAACACAACAGGGGTCCAGTTCATATCCGGAGATGTCAGATGTACGTTAGATAATGTGACATAACTATAACAGCTTGATTTGACTAGTCTATATCAACTGGCTGCGGTTTATTAACCCCTGTGAATAACAATGTCCGAAGGCTTTTATCTAAGTTATGCTGATTGGTGGTATCTTCTGTGCATGAAATTACACAAAAATATATAAAACATCGATCATCCCCTATACTACATTTTTGTATACCACTATTTTAAGCTCTACACAAAATCTCGTATCACTGCTATTTGACGTCAACGGGTTGACATGGCCTAAGCATCTTTGACCCGGAGTTATTAACAACTTCTTGATATTTTAACAGTTGATGTAAACAAAAATAAAACACAAGGTAGCACATCAGCCTCTAAAAAACACAAGTACATTTGGCTCCAATAATTGCCACAATGTTTAGGCAGCTCATTCCAGATATTCGAAAAAAATCACCTAAACAGGTACTCTAGATAAAACAGTTATTTTTAGCCCACTTGGCCCAGTCCTAGCCAAAGGACCATGACGATTGTTTACCCTTTTTTGTGTTATAGGCAAAACTAAATAAGATGGAGAGAAATTATAAACAGAAAAAATTATCAACAAGAAAGAGATTTTTGTCATAAATGCAATTCTAGTCCACACTGTTGAAGATGCACATATACCTATGTGAGCGTCACAGGCTCTCTAGAGCCTCTAGGTTTATTTATCGATCATGAAAGTTGTTTGGAAGTTTTAAGTCTACATATAGCTAGGGATCCCAAGCATATGACTACTGTTAATGTTGGTTTGTGGAGATCATACATGACTACTTAATGTTGGTTTGTGGAGATCATACCGAAGGTTCTGGGGTCCGCATAATTAGTGATTCATCTCTAAACCAACGTTTTCTCTTTTCAAGTGGTCGTACATCTCAATTTCCCACCCATTGACCCTTATTAATTGATCATTTAATAATGATTAAGAGGCGGAAGATACCAAAGGGACAATCCAAACTCAAAAGTCGAAGAGAGACCGACAAAACCATGGCAACAAACACCCCGAAAATTACGAAAGACAATTTAACTACATTTTACAAAACATTACATATAATAGAAAACTGGGCAAAAAGAGACTGGGGGTGTCCGGGAGTGTAAGCAGATCCTGCTCTCTTTGAATTCCCCTCCTAAATTAGCATGAAATATTCCCCACTGTACTACAAAAAAGACATCCAATCAATCAATCAATCAATCAATCAATCAATCTCATACCGAAAACTAGATAAAACTTTGTCTGAAAGATATTGAGGAGCTGCGTTAAAAAACAACATGGCTAAAACCACGTACGAAACTATCGAGAATGGACAGAAGGTATGATGGTGCTAGCTTAAAAACAACATGGCTCAACTCAGGGACAACCGTATCAGTGACCTAAAAAGAGAATGGACAGGCTGAATAACGGTGCTGGCTTAAAAAACAACATGGCTAAAATGGACAACCCTATCAGTGATCTAAAATGAGAATGGACAGGATGAATAACGGTGCTGGCTTAAAAAAAACATGGCTAAAAGCAGGAGAGACAAAGCTATCAATGTTCTGAAATGAGAATGGACAGGATCGGTGCTTTGCTTTTGCGCCAATTGGCATTTCATTTGCGCCAAAATAATCTTTCATTTGCGCCACAAACCATATTTCATTTGCGCCAAAAATACAGGTAAATACAGATAAATTGTGTATTAAATAGTTTTATTCTAAAGAGACTTTTAATAGTAACTTTAAAACACAGTTTTTTTATTGCATAATAAAACATATTCCTCCGAAATCAGTAATCGTAACCGTAACGAAAGCACTATACACTGATACGTTCATATTAAGAATTTTTTTATAATAGTGTTAAAACACAGTTCTGTTATAAATTAACGAGATCATAAATGAAAGCACTATACACTGGAGTAAAACCAAAAGTTTGTTCAGACACAAGATTAGTAAGCAACAACTCGGATGTACTCATGTACACTGGATAACATATATGTATGGTTATAAAAAATTACAGACTTATTTCCTCTATATAAAAGCAAGGAGATGTGGTATGATTGACATTACAGCCAGTCAAGGTCGTTAAACACTTCCAGTAGTTTAGTTGATTGACAATAAGACAACTATCCACCAAGGATCAAAGGAAGTGGATGAAAGCAATTATAGGCAACCGTAGGGCCTTCACGCGCGTCTGGCGTAAACACAAAATTTAATCCTGGTATCTATGATGAGTTTATCTTCAAAAATGAGAAAAAAACCTATACCGTGTAGTCGACTATAAACGGCCCCGACATGAAAAATATGAAACAATTCAATTCTGAGAAAACTAACGGCCTGTTTGTCTCAGAACTGACAATGTCCATCTTGACATCTCAAACATGTGAACACTAAATAATTTTAACCTAAGTGACTCTCAGTTTTATATTAGAAATGAGTATGAACTTACTTAATTACCCAGGGAGAATATTCTTAAAAAATCTTATTCACGATGTAGCAATGAATATTTTAAACTTTTCCGTTATATGTTACCTGTAAAATGGCGCAAATGTAGTTTTTATTTTTTTGGCGCAAATGAAATATAATCTTGTGGCGCATATGAAAGATTGGATTATGTAAAAATTTGCGCAAAGGCGAGGTCATTATCGCTGTCGCAGTCAATACCACTGTCCTACGGGCAGTCCATGTATCACGATAATGACCAGTTCTTCATTAACTATTATGTTTATTACATTGAGGAACCATGTTTTTAAAAATTCTCATAAATTCAAATTGTTCAAAGCAAACTCGAGTTATTGTACGATTTCTATAGGAAAGAGTGAAGACCAGTCATAGTGATAACTATAAGTCACTGCCATTCATTTAAGTGCAATTTTTCAGTATATGAATGCTTTCATGCCCATTCGTTTTATTAAGAAACCACGCCCCACTGGTCATTAACATGTAAAAGTCCGTTAACGACCGGCTTTCTGGTCGTTTTTTTTTCTGTTAAAGACCGATGGAATTTTTTACTGAAGAATAAAGAATGTCATGTGGCCCCTTGTTATCTAATAAGAGAAGCTAATTCTCAACCGATATGATTTGATTTGATTTTTGGTGTTTTAACGCCACTTTTAAGCACCGCTTTTGGGCTATTTCGTGGCGGCCAGTTTTTGTTGGTGGAGGAAGCCGGAGCCGATATGAAATAATTTTCTATAACATATATATTTAAAGGTATGTTATAGGTATTTTCTGAGAGACATGACCGTTATTACAATTGAATATACGTATACATTAACTTGAGTACGGGAATATTTTTAAAAATCAATCTCTATAACAGAATCTGGTGGGACTATGAATTTATCTAACGGTATAATGTTGAACAGATGTTACAGTGATTTGGTACTATGGTCATTCCCTTTAAAACATGATGCGCAAGATCCGTACTGATTGATAACGGCAGTACTTTTGTGTAAAAGGTTCACAATTTTTTTTAAATGAACAACCCTTTTTCTGCAAAGACAAATCCCATTGGAACTAAATGTCGGTGAAATGATCCTAAATTGGTAATTCACTGACAAGATTAGTTCAATATCATTCCAAGTTACTGATCAATAATTCTTAACAATTCAAAACCCTCAGAGTCAAAACCTGATTGGAGGTTAAACGAAACATCACGAATACAATAAGTACTTGTTATATAATACTTATTTTAGAACCACTCATATACTAACATGACTAACATGTACATATTATAAGTGGCAATATACAGTATACCGGTTATGAATGACGGTCGCAATTATTTAACAGTGTTTATAAACATAAAAGGAAATATATAAATTCCAACGAAGTTCAGTGGTTTGTAAGATGAATTTTGTCATAAGTATCTGGAAGCTGGGGCAAAAAGAGGGGGTCTCTATATATGTTAAGTGGTAGAAATGTTTCTTAAATAGGTTTCATGATTTATGATGCGTATCTTAAATTCAAATGAAATATTTGATAGGTAAAGTGAGTAGTGACTTAAATACTTATATCTATAATACAAGCTCTTTTTTAATGCCAACGCAGATTTACACGTGCAGTCATGTGGCAAAACGAAAGTTTACTACTCATGCGCCGATTGCACGGCGGATTATGTTACTCAACAGTTAAGACTGTAAACGTGGCATTCTTTTCACATCAGCATCAAGACATGGCGACTTTCAGTTGGAACCGATCACTTGTTTTCTTCAGTTTCATAGCTCTTGCACTGGTAAGAATATTAACATTATTTATTTTACCAATGCTTCAAGATGAAAGTTTCAGCATAAATTAACATTTATCATATTACTTAGATAGGCTAACTTTCAGTAAGTTAAAGTCTATAACAGTTAAGATCTCCTTTGCATATACGTTCAAGAACATATGTTAATACCATGAATACCGACCCGGGGTAATAACTTTGATTGTTTACTTGAAAAGTACGGGTATGCCAGTCAAATTGAATGGCTATTTAAGTGAATTAGTCGTTTTCTTTAATCTTCAAAATTATAAAGCTTTCATCTGCTCCTTATCAACTTTTTCAACAAATTGCTGCCATATATTAATTATCCCTCTTGTTTATATATAAATATTTCAGTAGTGTGCAAGGCCATTGGCATTTGCAAAAGGTGTATACTTTATTGTTTTGTTTCTATTTTCTGTCCATTTTATAACCAGTGAGTATATTCCCCGTCTCTACATGTCTATGGGTTTGAGGACACATGTACAATTGTTAATACTATCTGTCGACCATATGCATTTTGTAAGGGAGAGTCTAGTGACCATTATCTGATAATGTTAACTACGCGATTTTGCTGTAACTTTTTTTAATTTGCGTTCCCCCGATTGTACGCCTCCACCTCCTACTGTGGAGAAATCTCATTATGATAAATCCTTGTGTACAACAGCTGATCTGACCAGGACAGCTGGAGAGAATTCGTGAAATTTAATCTGGTACTATTACACTATTATATTACTATTAGCTTTTATTGATTAATAATCATTAATGAATTTGTTTTAAATTGACATGTCTGCATATTAAAGATAAGGTCTATTTAGTACGTTTTTCAAACACCAAAGATGTATGCCCGAGTGTATATGAACAATACTTCAAAAATGAACCCACAAGAGTGATCATGGGATTATAACAATAAACAATCAATGAATGCAGAAGTCAAGCATTGAGGGATTGATATAGAACGTAAAGGAGAGAAGAAAAAATCATAATGTATAGTGACACAGACATACGAAATATATCTGATAATAATAGTTAACTGAACAATAATTTGCCTTGTACATGTTCATGATGTTGTATAAGTTATATATGAAACATTTATACAATGAAATACAGATACATATCTTAGTTAAGGATCGTATGCATACATGATTTTAATGGAAGTAGGGCAATTAATCCGGACATTTTTTCATATTTGGGACATTTTCAAAAGTTTCTTTTCTATGAATTTAAATTATCACGAAGACAAGTTGTACTATGAGCTGCAACAACATTGTGTCGCATTTCGCAACTTCCTGCCCAATTTTACATGGGTTTGCCCAAAGATTTCTGCAAATTACGTATATTTATTCTCAGACGTTTATAGAAGTCAACCCCCCCCCCCCCCCCGCCCTCCCTTAAAAAAAAGAATGAATGTCTGAACGAGAATGTTTCTAACCAAAACTGATTTCAATCCCCTTCAAGCGTAGCAAGGAACAGCATTTTGGCAAATTTAACATGATTTACAAAATGGGGAGAATTGGGGTGTCATTTGTGACTTTTTTTTTGTCTGACGTCATCAGCGGATATATATCTGTTTCATAGTAGTTTGCATGAGTAACTTTGCATCGTGGTACATCAAAGTAAAAGCTATTCTGAAAAGCTGTACTAGCTTTCAAAAAAGCTTGTTTTTGCAAAACTATTAGCTAGCCGGGTCAAAGCTGATTATGTAAACATTGTTTTTGCATGCATAAAAAAATAAGGAATACAGTTTTTGAGGCTAACGATTTCTTTTTTTAGGTGGTGTTTAATAGATACCATGGAAAGGCATGTTATTTCTAAATCACCTGCGTTTTTACCTTTTATGTCATTTCGGTATATATTTGGTACCTGTAAGTAGGTGGCTTTACAATCATAAAAGTGAGAGGTTTAGCTAGCTATAAAACCAGGTTTACTCCACAATTTTCTACTTAAGGTAATGCCTGTGTACTAAGTCAGGAATATGGCAGTTCTTTTCCATTCGTGTGATGTGTTTGAGCTTTTGATTTTTCCATTCTTATAAGGGACTTTCCATTTTGAATTTTCTTTGGAGTTGGGTATTTTGTTATTTTACTTTTTATTTTCGGTCCATTTTTCATTCGAATTTTTTTTATTGATTTACTTTTTGTTTGTTTGTTTGTTTGTTTGCTTGTTTGTGTTAGAAAAGTATGGCTAATTACCCTGTCTCTGTTTCATTCATATATTCAATATCGGGAAAATAGATGAAGAGTATTAGACTTTGATCATTAAAGTATCTATTGGTATATTTCAAACAATTTATCAAACTATTACACAAATCCTTACAAATGACCTGTTGCTCTATCGCCACAACGAAAGGGGAGGTATGATAACAGTCATTGTTGGCTGCTACAAAACACAGATCAAATACTTGTATTATAATATATTGACGTGATATTACTTAATAAAAAGAATGGAAATAATACAATGTGACCCTTTTTACTTCATCTCCTTCAAATAGTCACGGAAATACCAATTGATCTACGAAGTCATCTTTTTATAAATGTCCAAAATAGGAACATAGTCTGTCTTACAAACTCTTTTAATAGTTTATAAAGCATTACCATATGATTTTATATGTTAATTGAAAAAACTCAAGCATTCAGTATGAAGAAAACACAACTGTTATTACTATGAGAATATCAAATAATGAACTGAAAGGACATTTTCACAACAGCAAATCTTACAATGTCACAATTATCCGTTTTAAACAACACATTTGCCATGATTACACATTTGATATCAAATTTTCGTAGCAATAGATACCCCCACCAATCAATGAAAAGGGATATGGGCTCATATTCCCTGTCAGTGTTTTATATCTCGAAGGCGAAGGGGATATACGGCACTGAAAGGGAATATGAGCCCATATCCTCTGTGAAGCCCGAATAACTATCATATTAAACTGGAGTGTCCTTATTTCAACACTAACTAACATTTTTCTCTTTGTTTTCTTTCACAGAGCATTTGGGTTCATATCCCCGTTTTGGTAACCAATCAAATTGTAGGATTAACTGGGATATTTCAGTCCAGTATGATGTAGTATTCTATTACCTCGTCTTTTAATATTTTTATTGCTTTTTACTTCATCTGCTTCTGAAACTATAGGAGGAGGAAGGTTGCAACAACCGTGTATCCAGAAGCATCGTCCCTTGGTGTCTCCTTGAGATGCACAATTATATATCAACTAATAAAGATGTTATAAAAAATGGAAGTTTGTTTATCTGCATTAGACACGAGGAGAGCTATGAAATACAGTTTCTAGTAATGCAGTCCCTATGTGTCCTTTGCAGTTGAGCAACCGATTCTAACATAATTTCCCCTAATAATAGGTTATGTTACTAATAACGGTATACATCTTCAATGATAATGATGTTGATGTGGTCCCGAGTTGTATCTCTTGACTGTACTTATTCTGCATTTTGTCTATATCTATTGCAATATCTGCCAGATTACATTTTACTGTATAATGTATCATGTTTGTTACTTATATTGTGTATGTACTTCATTTTATAGTTGTTAATGGTAAACATCCCCTGTGGGGACTTGATTGCAATGATAAATATTTGATTTGATAATAGATGCTCTTACAAGTTTTTTGTTTTGGAAAGCTAATACTTGTTTATGTCTGAAAGTTCATTCATCATATTATGGTAGCATAGATGGTTGCCAAAAAGTGTATGTTTCAGCGTTCTTTACGTAAATTTTGATAATTTACAATTGATATTTTTATGCCCCCATAGCGGAGGGGGCATTAAGTTTTACCCTTGTCCGTCTGTACGTACGTATAACTCACATTGTTACAGTATGTACGTACGTCCCAAAATTGGTTTCCGTTCTCTAACTTTAGTTTGCCTCAACCAAATGTTCTAAAACTTATACACAATGCTTATTACATTAAAACATAGATCAAGTTCGAATTTCGTTGGTGTCACTTTTACCGTTCTAGAGTTATGCCCCTTTACAAATGGAAAAATTGCTGAATTTTTCGTTTCCGTTCTCTAACTTTAGTTTGCCTCAACCAAATGTTGTGAAACTTATACACAATGTTTATTACCACTAAACACAGATCCAGTTTGAATTTTGGTGGCGTCATTTATACCGTTCTAGAGTTGTGCCGCTTTACAAATGGAAAAATTGCTAAAATATACGTTTCTGTTCTCTTACTTTAGTTTGCCTCAACCAGATGTTATGAAACTTGTACACAATGCTAATTACCACAAAGCACAGATCAAGTTGAATATTGGTGGCCTTTACATTTCTTGAGTTATGTCTCTTTATAGCGTAATATGCAAGCGGGGGCATCATCTGTGTCCCATGGACACATTCCACATTTATTTTTTTTTTATTTAATATAAAGCTGCAACTCCATCAAGGATTGATGACATTAATTGATTAGATGGTTGTGGCTTTTGATGGGTCGTTTGGTTATAAACCTCCTAGACTCTCATCGGGTACTTCTTATATACACCTTTGACTGACGCAGGTTGCTCCCCTGTTAAAATTTAATTCTGAAATGCACATGGAAAAATATTAAAAAAAAAACGGTTTCATGCATGAGTGACTCTTAGATCATTGTTCTTTATAGACACGTCTACACACAACGAACTTTTTTTTTATCTCTATCAGCAGACGTGCTGATAAGAGGTTGTAACATGTTTATGGATTAACTCACATTGTTACAGCCTGATATCTCCTATCTGGAACTAATACATTTATCTATTAAATTTTGTTCCAACTCCTATATTTTAGGAGGAAATTTTGGGCTTATTCTGCAACTGCAAGGCTATCTACGTGGACATGCAAGCTTCTGAGGACTCGTAACGTCATGACACGAGTTTACACACAATAATCTATTTGGTTGCCAAATGTTACGGTCACCTATGCATAAAGACTTAAAATACTGCATCTTTTTGAAGAATTATTAACATTTAACATTGCCTTACTTTGCGTCCGTCCTCCGTTCGTCCGTTGTCTGTCGTGCGTAATTCTTTCTTTAAAAATCGTCTCTTTTGAAACTGTTCAATGGATTGAAACCAAATTTTATCTGCTTCATCTGTAGTACGTAATGTTATTAAAGTTGTGATTTTCGTCCAGATTGATCAACCAACATGGCCACTCTGGCTAAAAGCAGAACATATTGTTCAAACTACATTTGTGGCTAATATCTCGAAAATTATAGCAAATGGAGAAAAACTGACCAGGGAAAAATTGCAGCACAACAAGCTCTATCTACCCTGAAAATAAAATAAAAATCTGTCCACAGATAGGAGTATGTTAAAATTGTAAATTGCAAAAATGATCAGCAAGATAATTTCTATTCATCTTGAAAATTCTGAAAAATCTTTCAACATGTTTTGGAGTTATTGTCCCAGACATATATAATGTTAGCTCATCTTGGCTGAAGGGCAATGTGAGATTTTGTAATTACTTTGCGTCCGTCGTCTGTTCGTCCTTTGTCTGTCGTCCGTCGCCTGTAACCTTTTCTTAAAAAATCTTTTTCTCTGAAACTGCTGAATGGTTTGAAACCAAAGTTTGTCTGCTTCATTTGTAGGATGTCGACTAAAAAGTTTGTAAATTTTGTTCAGGTTGTTTAATCAACATGACCGCCTTGTCTAAAACAGAAATTAATATACGAGTAAGGTTTAAAGTGTAAACTGTAGAAATTACCAGCATAAAAAGATGTATTCACTCCGAAATTTGGGAAAAAAATCTAACAACTTATTTTGGATTTATTGCCGGGCTGAAATATCGATTTTTCAAAATTTTTAGCAGTTATTGGCTGTTATCGTGAAAATTATAGGAGCCAGATTAAACGTGTAATCTGCATAAAGGATCAGCACGACAAAGTGTATCTACCCTGAAAATTAATAAAAACAAATCTTTCAACATGTTTTGTATTTATTGCCCCTGAAGTATAATATTTTGCAGTTTCTGCTATTATCATGAAAACTATATGTGCTAGGTTAAAAGTGTTTAAACAGCATAAATGATCAGCATGGCAAGATATCGCTACTCTGAAAGTTTCATAACAATTTTTGGAGTATTTGCCCCTGCAATGTTGATTTTGCTGTTTTTTGTTGTTGTTTTTTTGTTGTATTTTTGCAGCTTAGGCTGTTATTTAAAACAAACTTTAGGAGCAAGGTTAAACATGTAAATTTAAAAAAATTATCAGCAACACAAGGGTTACATTGTACGATAGTATGTGCATATAAAAGTCCAAATTAGCAAGCTATAGGAACTAGGTTAAAAATTAGAATACAAACACGATAAACAGTCTTTTTTAAAATGATTTATCTACTCTAAAAAAATTTGACAAACTGTTATGAAGTTATTTTCTCTAAAATGTTGATTTTATGTGTGTGTGTGGGGGGGGGGTTGCAGTTTTGGCTGTTATCTTAAAAACTGTAGGAGATAGCTAGTTTAAACCTGCAAATTACTAAATTGATCAGCAACACAAAAAATAACTCGTTCGTGCATAAACAAAATCCTCGTTATCAAACTTTCTATTTTTTCACAAGCGAGCGATACAGGCACTGGTGTGCCTCTTGTTATCAATATGCATTTTTCTTCAGCCATAAATTTATACTTATAAATTATAAATTATTTTTTTATTCTTAGTTAATATTGTATGCTGTCAAACACTCCGATATTTCCCTTGATACTATATTAGATATTCGAAGAAATTCTGTCTTCCATTTCTTTCTTTTTTAAACTAAAGTTTGGCGGAAATAACAGTAGAAACATTGGACAATTGGGTTTTTACTCACATGTGAGTATATTATAAAAAAAAAATAGTATCATTCTATATTTTTAACTCTTCATTGCTTCGATAGTTGCACGAATAGTTACAAATTTCATCGTTGAAAATAAGAAAAATATGTAGTCCGAAGGGTTCAAAAGAACAATCAGTATGACTGATCGCTAGATAAATTTGCATGAGCTAATTTTTTTTTTATCTTAGATATCTTGACACAAATATATATATCTCGCCTGTCGGCAGAAAATTCAGAAAAGGACAATCTCATGGACAGCAACATTGCTAATTAATTCAAAGTTGCAGGATCATCACCTAGGGGACAGGGCCTCGATATGGTCGACACACTGAGAGTGTACTGATAGTAATGCAACTTTGTAGAAAATATCATTATCTATCATAAGAAGTTCCTATCAAACTTTCTTAAGAAGAAAACTAAACATTGAAAATTGGTAATTAATTGAAAGTCCCTAGACCAAGACCTAAGGTCGTCAAACTGATATGTACTGATAGTAATGCAACTTTATACAAAATATTATTGATCTATCACAAGTAGTTCCTATCAAATTAACTTAAGCAGAAAACTTAACTTTGAAAAATGCTTATTAATTGAAATTCGCTGGAACCTTACCATCTTAAAAGTTCTTAATTTTTGCACTTAATAACCCCACCCTTCTCTCTAAGATGGAAAAGGGGGTTTAAACAAACTTTTTTTTTGTATTTTTTTATGAAATGTTTTTGGTATTTATTCAAGCATTTTACCATATTTAACTCTTCAGTTTCTAAAAAAATCAGCTGGCTAGCTGTTGTTGATTCAAAAATATATGCCCCACTCAAAAAAGTTCAAACTGGAATATCTTTTAAACGACAACAGATATCTCAAATCTATTTAATGTAAGATGATCTACAGATGAAGTACAACACTGAAAAAAAATTGGAGCTATTCCATAGCTCATTAAGGGCACAATGAATAATCAAATATATGATGCAATAGCGAAATTGAGAACCAAAAGTGGGAGAGACATGGGACTACCACCATGCAACTCAGGACCACTTGACCTTTCAAAAAGTCAATATGAAATTTCCTCATGAAGATTATTGGTGAAGGTCCCATATCTTTACGACTTCCGCATGGTCATCTGGTGATACATTATGATGAGATCTACCTATTATCCAAATAAGGTCATGATATCTTAAAAAAAAAAAACGAGAGAGGCCATGTCGAAAAAAAAAACAATAAAAGAGAGATAACTTCTAAAGGGGATTATGAAATCCTACACTAGGTCATCTGGTAATACTTCATGATGAGGTCTATCGATGGTCCAAATTTGGTCATGATAACTTCAATAGAAACGGGGGAGGCCATGTCAAAAAAAATGTTGAAAGAAAAAAACATTAGAAAAAAACATTCGAAAAACAATAAGGTCTTTCCCACGTTGGGAAAGACTTGAAAAAGAAATATGATTAGAAAAACAATGAGGCCTTTCCCAACGTAGTGGAAAGACCTTAAAAGACATAAGAAAAACAATATGTCGTTTCCACGTTGGGGGAGACCCTAATTAGTATTTATAAATGCAGCATTAGTTAATCTCCGTTAAATTTTGATAAAAATTATATACATGTAGAATAATTCATTTAAAAATTCAAATATCGAGAAACGCCTCGCCTGTGGGAGGTCGAGAGTTCGATCCCCGGCCGGGTCTAACCAAATACTTGAAAAATAGCCTTATATTTTTGCTCCATCTCTGATAATCTTTCGGCATTAAGGAGTAAGAGCAAATATTGGTCGACTCGTAGTCGGCAGAATAATGTGTCCGGGTAGGGTGTCTCCTGTAGACAGTTCCTTGTGAACTAGCAGGTTAAAAATCCGGATCAGTTTGTCGGTCAAGTACAAAGCAAGAGTTTTCGTCCTGCATATGTATCTAATTTGCCATTGGACGTTAAAAAGCAATCCATCTTCATCAAATCTCGAGAAATTTTCAACTAGTGACGATCACGAGTTGAATATTATTTGAATTTTTATAACAACAACACCAATTTTTGGTGAATCTTTTTATTACATGGACTTTTAACGTAAATAAAGTATAGATGCAAGGACCTAATATCTTTTTCTATGAGTTTTCATTCCGTTTTGCGCTTCACACCTTATAAATTTATAATGATCTTATCTATTGTGTTGCACGTGGTTGCTATTTCAATGTCGCACAGCAAGTCTTGTATCAATTCAAGTATAAAACAATAAGAACAGTTTTCACTTTTGACTCCAGGGTGTTCAAAGGAATTTAAGAAATATCTGTGTCGCTAAAGCAAAAAAAAATAGAATAAAATAAAATAAAACATCAATTAAACAAAAATACTACTCTCTCTTCTCCCAAATAATAAGAAAAAGATTCAACAAAGCAAAGCCAAAAGAGAACAAAACAAGCAGAGAAAGCAAGAATGTTTATTCCCATGAATATAGATGACTTGTATTATTTATCTTTACTTTATTATAATATTTCCTTTTTTCAATTCAGGCTGGTAATTTGACAGTAACACAGAAAGTGTTCTTTGATGTTTCAATAAATGGCAAACCAGAAGGAAGAATAGTTTTGGGATTATTTGGACAGACTGTTCCAAAGACAGTAGAAAACTTCGTTGCATTGACAACACATAGTAAAGGTTATGGATACAAAGGCAGTAAATTTCATCGGGTCATTGAAGATTTTATGATACAGGGTAAAATGATAAATATTGTATACATAGTTTTAAGTGTATAACCTAATTTACATTATAATCCCAAAAGAAATATTCGAAAAATATAAATTTGGACATTCATATTAAACACATCACCTACTCGCGGACAAAGCTTTGTTTCATTTTCATGTTTAACGTATAAAATCGTCAATTGACTGCTTGTAGGAGTTATCACGCTATTAAAACGGATTCCTATTTTTTGGAACTTTATAATATTTTCTTGAAAACTATAATAGAAAGAAAGAAAACAACCAAAAATGATAAGATAGATAAGATTTTCCAATAAGCAAACATAACTGATTGCAATAAAGGAGAAAATAAATATCAAAATGACATATTTTGACAGATAAGCAATACATGCAGGCTCTTGGCAGCTTCATGTTTAAATAATCATGCAATACAATTTATTACCTAAAAGTCATGAAATTTACCGAATTTGATAGGATTGTCAAAAAGCATGTCTGTCCAACCTATTCTTCAATGTAACAGAAAGATATTGCTTTCATTCCAAAGAAATTAACACAGCTGTAATGGGTTCTTTTATATCAGTAAATATAGTTTTGTCCACAAAGTAATTTACTTTTAGGTTCATTTTGGCAGTTCAATTTATAAATTTTTGGGAAAGTTAAAATTATTTGAAGTTATAGTTTTATTAATTACTAGTATGTCCGACTGCATAAAAATGAAAATTAATTAAACATCAATAGCGTCTATCCTTTTTAACAGATATGCTTTTCAATCCCTAGAAATTCAATTATATTTAGATGCTATATTTACTTTTGAAGAGAATTTAAATCTTTGGTACGTTATAGGTGGTGACTATGAACTTGGTACTGGTTACGGTGGAAAGAGTATTTATGGAGAATTTTTCCCAGATGAGAACTTCAATATCAATCATTATGGACCAGGATGGTTGAGTATGGCAACTATGGGTAAGTACTATTATATGTACTTTGGATATCAATCAGTACAACAAATAGGTTTGAGACATTTGTTGGAGTTGGTGAACAATGAAATGTATCCATCATGTCTTTAAAAATAAAGAACTGGGCAAAGGTATAACAACCAAGTTTAAAAGGCGAAACACTGAAACATAGAAAAAACAAAACCAAAAAAAAGCTGAAAGTTGGAAAACGGTGACTGATGGTATTTCAACCTATTAAAAGTTACTTCTCAAGTTATATTGAACAGATAATAAAAGCTAGTCGTAGCTTGATTGATTGATGTTTGCTTAACATCCAGTGACAAATATATCATGCATGTTCCATAGGTACTTGGGGACAGGACAAATTTTTTAGCCCTATATAATATATCAGTGACCGCTGTGGATAGTAAAATTGGAATTGATAGTAAATAGCAAATACAAATTATTTCTAGTATATTGATGTTCATATAATACAAAAAAAACGCGAAAATAATTGAAATTAATAGAAAACCAAAAAATAACAGATTTTGGAAAAATGGGGAGGTCTAAACAAAATTTTTCCTGTACCCAAGTACCTATGGCATGTTCAGAACGAAAACAAATTCAAAATTAATGCAATAGGTAGGTTCTGCATTTAAATTTTGACAACCGGGATAATGGGCGAGAATTTCGATAGCCACTGAAATTTGAGGGTATGTTGGAAATTGGGCTGAATTTTGCCTTGCAACAGGCCACCTACAACCCCCAATGTATTGTTGCATTAACTTTTCACCTTTAGTAAGCATGACACTCTCTCTACACTAGGCATTGAAGTCCCGATTCCGACCGTCAGTGGCTGTGAATTTATACATCCCGCATAGCCAAATAGACGCCTCAATTAAACAAGTGTTTTACTGCCAGCCTGGAGAAGTCCAAGGGATGACCATATTTTCATGTCCCAGTCAACTATTGGGGCCACACATATATATTAAATTTGTGCATCTTATGTGATGCAATTGTTTGAGAAATTTTAATAATTTTCCCGACTTGGGTATAATTTTTCATCAATTTACAATAAGTGAAATCAACTCCATAGTTTCCAAACCAGATTCTTGAAACCTCACATGAAGATTAAAACACAACTCAATATTTTATATTTCCATATGTGATTATTTGAAAGTTCATTATAGATTATTCTGGGTTCTTGAAGAAACATTATGTCTAATCTGGCCATTTGAGTCTAAATTGATTCATGCATTTTCTGCCTTTTAGCCTTTTAGTTTTGCATGTTTTAAAGCCTTGTTCCTTTTACCTTTTAAACTTGGTGGTTGTAATTTTCACTTGTCCTTTTTGTATTTTATTCCAATAACTATGTCTGAACAATATTTTGTCATCTTGAGTTCAACAAAGAGCAATAATTCTTTGCCAGATATATAAACATTTTTAAAAGGACACGTGAAAATTGGGAAGGGTCATATAAAAGTACATACATACACAATACTTAACATTTTGCTAAGCTCTAATTTTGTTTTGAAAAATACATATATTCAGTTACCTGTTTATGTGCCATTTTCTTCATTACAACAATTCATTTTAAATTAATAGCCCATGGAACATTCATTTGATAGAGCTTTATTCACACAGATAATTCAAATTTGGATTCATTTATTTTGCAGGTCACATAATTTTTGGTGTGATATCTCTATTTCAAATTTTACAAGACAATAGGTCCAGTTTTCAGGAAAAATAAGAAATCCATGTTAAGTTTATGGGGCTCGGAATTCTGTTAAATTGGGAAGACTGCTGATTTTTTCTTCAGTTATTTCACCAGCTCATGACTGCAGTAAGTATACAGAGAAGTCATTACTACACAGACCAGTTTTCTACACCCACTAGATTGTCATTGATGATAGATTCAAATAGAAAATAGTCAATACCGAGTTGGGAATTTTGAATTAAGTTACACTGGGCATAGTTTCAGTTTTTATACCACCGCAAAAATTTGCGGCCGTATAATGGTATGACGATGTCGTCGTCGTCGTCCGAAGACCTTTGGTTTCCAGACAATAACTTGAGTATAAGTGTATTGATCTCTATGAAATTGTACCACAAGGTTCCATACCACAAAAGGAAGTTAGGGATTGATTGTGGGGGTTGTGGCCCTATTCGTTAATAGATTTTGGACCAAAAAGGGGCCAAAAGCAAACATTTTTCTGGTTTCCGGGCAATAACTTGAGTAGAAGTGTAAGGATTTGTATGAAAATGTACCACAAGGTTCCATAGCACAAAAAATAAGGTTGGATTGAATTTGGGAGTAATGGTTCACCGTTGTATCCGCTTCGGAATCAGGGCCCGAAAAGAGGTAAAAAACAAGCAATTGTTTAAACTTTGTTTGAATTGCTAATTTCTGACCAATTTCAATAGGGTTTTAATAATCTTGGGTTCTTTGATATGCCTTATCTTACCGTGTATTTAGAATTTTTATTTTGGGCCGTGTTTTCAAGTGGGTTCAACTTAAGAGTGCAGAATTAAACTTTGATTGATTACAATATGCTGAATCAAATAATGTATTTAGATCATGGATTTTGGGCATATTTTTCAAATTGGTCCACATCAGGGTCCAAAAGGTCCAGAATTAAAATTGTTTTTTTTTCAAGAAAAATTGAATGGCAGGGTTTTTTGCTATGCTGAATTGCTTATATTTGATCAATTTCATTTGTTTGCTTTTTTTTTACATTAAGAGTTACCTCCCTTACAATGTTTAAGCTTATAATTTATGTCTTATCTTTGAGGTGATATGCAAATGAGAAGCTTTCATTGTATTTTTAAATGTTACTACGAATTTTTATTATTCAGATAAATTAATGTTAGTGATTATTTTCATGCATTGTTCTATTTCAAGATTGTTAACATGTATTTACATGATTTCCTATGGTTGAAAATTCCTCAAATTACCTTATGACAAATAAACCTCAACTACCATACACATCCATCTGTACCCCACTTGTAGCAGTATTCAAACACCAAAAAATGATTAATTAATTTAATGAAAGGTTTCCTACCAATTACAGCTTCAACTTAATTCCTTTATGGAGCATTTTAAAAACTTAGCTTATATTGTCCATAAATAAATAAAATTCTTGGTGTACTTTGATATGCTGAATCTAACCTTGTATTTAGATTTTGGATATTGGACCATAATAGGTAAAAGTCCAATTTCAAAATTTTCAGTTCTTTGGCCACATTCATTCTGTGTCAGAAACCTATGCTATGTCAAATATTTAATCACAATCCAAATTCAGAGCTGTAACAAGCTTGAATGCAGTGTCCGTACGTGCCCCAATTTTTCAGGGTTCGACCTCTGCGGTCGTATCAAGCTGCGTCCCACGGAGCATTTTATTCTATTTATTTTTAAACAAAATTTCAATGCTTATGTGATAGAAGTTTCTGATAATGTGATTATTAGTGTATAGTATTTAAATTTAGGATCAGTACAACTATGATCATTGAAGGTTTCCAGATCACTGAACAAAATAAACTGAAAAGTCACGAAAGTCAAACACGCACATTACATGCGTTTAGTATGCTTAAGAAATACTTCATGGTGGCTTGAATTTATATTGATTTTATCACAGTTTGGCCCTTGATGCTGAGTAAATATGAGCGATAACGATAGGATTTTTTCTCTGAAATCTTCTTGAAAAGAACAGTTGCAATTTACATGATTTACAATCCTTACATTTAAAAGAATAATTTTTTATCCTTTGGATGTTGATTTTTTTCTTTAGGGTCCAGTTGATGTAACAGTTTTTCATCTTCATTATTCATTAACCATATCAGTTATTTGGTAGGGTCTAGATTTTGAAAATTCTTGCAGCAATTATGTATCATTGTGATCATATCTTTTCGTTGGTCAGATAGACAATGAGAACTGTCAGGACAGGCAAGATATTATATTGCTAAACTCTTTCATAATTATCATTTTATAAAGGGTTAAACCGTTAGAGGTTCACAAATTGAATTATTACATGATACATTAGATATACGCTTGTTCAATGTTCCCATGCTGATATGTTGCTGTTGTATCATGCTCCTGTCTGCACGGCTCTTAATAAACTTTATTTATATTCAGATACAAGCATATCACTGTGACATGTGAACAAAAAATTTTGCCTTGAAGTAGCACGAAAATATTATTAAAGCATATACATTTTTCATTTATGATTTGGTTAAATATTGCTGTTGAAATCAATATCGCAATTTTATTTACATGAAAAGTTATGCATACATTTCGTTAGTTAAATGGCCAATTATTAATCCTACGTATTTGATTTTGGTATGGAACTACATTTGCCCCTACACATTATGTTACTTTTGTGTGGACCTAATGTACCGCTCATTGTCTAGTTAAGAATAAGTATGTCCTTTTTCAAAACGATTTTTTTTTTTACATAACTTGTGATTTACAACATTGATAATTGAATTTTATAGGAAAAGACACCAATGGATCACAGTTTTTCATCACAGCTAAGAAGACATCGTGGTTAGATGGAAAACATGTAGTTTTTGGCAAAGTCCTTGAAGGAATGAAAGTAGTAAGAAAGATTGAATCTCAGAAAACGGAGGAAGAAAAGCCATTATCTGATATTGTGATTACAGATTGTGGACTTATATCAAAACCATTCAAACCGTATGAAGAAACAGCAGCGGGCGTACCAGATACGGTTTAGAGGAGCAATATAATATACTTTACGATCTCTCTTCAATGTCATAGTTGTTAACTAAATCTTTTGCAGGGATATTTGTTTTTTTAGCTAGTAAACTTCATCTTCATATTCAAAAACAAGTACTTACAAAATATGGGAGAATTCATACCACAGAGAAACAAATACTTAATTATATGTGAGAATTCATACATGTATCATAAAACAGATATATTATTGACATCAACATCAAGAGTATATAGAGAAGACGTGATATCATTTTTTTTATTTTAACTAATTTCTAGATTTTATTACTATTTCTAGACGAAAAAACCCAATAATTTTGAATTAATTACATTGATTATATATTAAATAAGAGACAAACATTCCTTTTTTTTCATTTTAACTTGCAAATATTGTAGCATTGTTGTCAAATTTTCAGTAAGAGTATTATGTGATTTATCTATGCAATGTGTCATATTGAAATTTAAAAATACATGTACAATAAATTACATATTTTGTTATTTCACATATTATTCTATTAATAACTAAAAAATATCCTTAAAACAGAAAAGTAAGGATATGGGGGAATTATTCACAAAACAACATCCCAAAAATGAAGCAAATGGAAATGAAGTTTAAGTGCAAATATCCCAATAGTAACTCAAACCGTCAATAGGCTTACAAACCAACATCCTGAAAGTCACTAAAATTGAGGAAGATGTTTTTTTAGACAATGTCCTAAAAATTTGAAAAATGCTATAAAGACATGTACCAAAAGTCATAGCAAATAGGAAAGATGCTTATCCTGAATAGCATAACAAAATGGGAAAATATGCGTGAGACAACATCCTTTTATATTAAAGTCAGTGCTTGGTCAACTGTGAGAAAATGTGCCCACCTAACACTAAGTTCAAGATGGCACCTGTCAATAATTCTTGAAACATTTTGAATTATGTATCAATCTGATAAACAGCTTTACAGTGACATGTTTCTGGTCCAAACCCTAACGAAATTCCATATTTGAACAAAATAAGTGTTTTATTTCAAGTTATATGGTGAATATAAAATTTGCTGTGTTTTTTTGTTTGTTTTAAACTTTGACAGGGAAGTTTGTTACAAAGGATTAACGCTTATTTTTGTATGAAACTTTGTCAGGCTAGCTTGTGGCATAAACTGTCAACACAGAGATGTTTCTAGCATGTGCAACCTAATCACAAACATTTATTTTGTTATCGCTGCCAAATCTGGACACAACACGCCTAAATGTTAAAATCCTGTAATACCGTTGGATGCGAGAAAATATGATGAAAAGTTATTTCTACATTAAACTTGCTAGGATAGATTGTGACACCTTGGTTTGGCCATGGTATTGTCTGTCTTTTTAGTCCCCTACCGACGAAGTCGAAGGGGACTTTAGGTTTGCATTCCGTTCGTCCGTCTGTCCGTCCGTCAGACCGGCAAATCAGTTTTCAACACTTTTTTCTTTGTGCTTGAGGATATTGATTTGATATTTGGTGTATTGTTTTAACATGACAAGTTACAGATCAAGTTCGAATTTTGTTCTGGTCTGATGATTTTGTGCAGAGTTATGGACCTTGGACTTAGAAAATTCACTCAAATAATCAGTTTTCCGCACTTTTTTTCGTCATGCTTGAAGATATTGATTTGATAATTGGTATATAGTTTAATCATGACAAGTTACAGATCAAGTTCGAATTTTGTTCCGGCTTGATGATTTTGTGCAGAGTTATGGTCATTGGACTTAGAAAATTCACTTAATCAGTTTTCCTCACTTTTTTTTCGTCATGCTTGAAGACATTGACTTGATATTTGTTATAAAGTTAACACCATGACAAGTTATAGATCAAGGTAGCATTTGGTTATGTTGTTTTTTTTGGTTACCTCCTTGTTACCCCCCCCCCCCCCCTTTCCACCCCGTTTCACAACTGCTAAAACAGAGCTTATATCCGTTACAGGAACCTCTTCACAATATCTGCTGAGCATAAAGAAGTAAACAAATATTTAGACCAGTTCCTTGAAGTTGTTTATTGGCTTTGTTTTATCAAGGATTTTATAGTATTGAACAGATATATCATGTTAAGGAGGGGTATTTGCGAAAAATACCAGTCGAGAGAATGTTAAATTTCGCGAGCCGTAAGGCGAGGGAAATTCATTCTCAAGACTGGTATTTTTCGCAAATACCCCTCAAGAACATGCTATATCTGTATAATTACACCGAATGTTAACGTACAAAACGCATTGATGATCGTGACATAAAACGCATTGATGATCGTGACATTATATTGGTGAAAAATACACTGGCTATCAACCAATCAAAACCCAGGATTCTTACATAAGGTGTAATTATACTATATATATCCTTGTTTTTATGTTTTCTCAAAGCAAATGTGCGAGCAAATTCTAAACAGATATATCATGTTAAGGAGGGGTATTTGCGAAAAATACCAGTCGAGAGAATGTTAAATTTCGCGAGCCGTAAGGCGAGGGAAATTCATTCTCAAGACTGGTATTTTTCGCAAATACCCCTCAAGAACATGCTATATCTGTTTAATTACACCGAATGTTAACGTTCAAAAACGCATTGATGATCGTTACGTTACAAGCGTCCAGTCGGATAGAGTATTTTTTTGCAAATACCATGGCAGAGAGGGTAAAAAAGGCATATTCTTTTTGCATATACCCCGGCGGCGTTAAAAAATGAACGATATTCATTTGATAACAGTAAATTGGTGACAAATACACTGGCTATCAACCAATCAAAACCCAGGATTCTTACATAAGGTGTAATTATATTAAAAATACATCTTAGCCTCTAAGCACATTTGTTTAAAGAGAAAAAAGAAAGTTAGAAAAAGAATACGTACGATAAAGATCCTCATTCGTCTTAAACATGTCTGTTCTCATTTTCTGATTTTTTTTTAAATTCTCCCGTTAAATAACATTCCTTTCAACAAAGAACACTTAAGGGAGACTTCTTTGCTGATAATAATACTTCTACTAATGGTAGAAACTAGGAAAAGGAGGAAGGCAAGCCTATAGATTCTAAGGTCACATTTGTTAATGATAATAGTTGTTCATAGTATGAAATTCTTCAAAATAAAGATAAAAACAGGAGATTTGGTTTAATTTATAGGGGCTCTGTTAGCAGATTACTAAAAAACATTAATTTTTAGTAATCTTTTTTTTTTTCATTTTTCCTGTCTATTTGTATTACATTGTTAACGTATTTAACATTGACATCATTATTTCTTTGTTTTCTTTTTGGTTTTTGTTTGAAATACGAAAAAAATAATTTTAAAAACATTGATTTTTTTTTAATCTGCTAACCGTGTCCCGAAAAGTAATAAAGGTCACAGTACGGACTTCTACAATGAACAAAACCTATATCGTATGGTATGCTGTAAAAGGCCTTGGCATTGCATTTGAATCAATTCAAAAGAGAAAACCTGACAGACAGCAACCAACGACATCCACTAAATTACAGGCTCATGACTTCGGATAGGTAGATAAAGAATGTGATGGTGTTAAAATGTTTGTGAGCGCTCAACCCGACCTTACCTTGAACGGCTATTGGTAATTTACGGAACGGAACGGAATTCATTTGAGGTATCCATAGGGGGCATCTATCAAAATTTCGAAAAATCTTTAAAACAAAACAAACTTTAAATTTCCCTGTTTACGGTTTTCAATATACAGATAACACAATTGTATACTAAATCTCATCTTCACATGTTAAATGTGTAATAATGTATAACACCGGGAAATATCCTGTAAATGTACATTCATGTCCTGATAAATAATCATGAATTTGACGCATTGGCAGGTCAAATAAAAAAGTCTTACTCCTTTCATTCATTGTGATATCTAAGAAGACAGACCTCCCGTCGTCCTTTCCGACGATGATTAGAAACATTGATTCTGATTTTAACTTTTAAAATTTGTTATTCCGTTCCGTTCCGCAAAGTACCAATTAATCTGAGGAATTGGTATTTAACGGAATCGAACGGAAACAGACATCTGTGTAAAAGACGGTATGATTCTTTTTTTTTTTGGTCTTACACCTCTTTTTTTTGAATGAGTGGTAAGTGTTTTAGATATGCATTCAATAACCGGATCAATAATTTATATGAAAAAGGCAAGTCAGACAAAAAGTATTACTCCTTTCATCCGTAATTATATCTAAGAAGACATGACCTCCCGTCGTCCTTTCCGACGTAGAAACATTGATTCTGATTTTAACTTTTTAAAGTTGTTATTCCGTTCCGTTCCGTTCCGGAAAGTACCAAATGCTCTGGGGATTTGGTATTTAACGGAATCGAACGGAAACAGACATCTATGTAAAAGAAAGTAGTATTATTTTTGTTTGTGTCTTACACCTCTTTTTTTAAATGAAAAGGGGAAAAAAAGGGGGGCAAAATCTTTTTTTTTTAGGTGTTTTAAACTGTTGTTAACTGTTATTGACTAGTTAGCTGTTATCTGTTTTCTTAAAATTGTCATTATTGTTAACTGTTATTTGAAAAAAAAAATACCCATGTTATCAGTTCACTGTTAACTGTTTTTTTACCCATTTTAATATAGCAAAATGTGTAAAATAAATTTGCCTCGCTTCGATCGGCTCTGACAAAACTAACAACACTTTGATATAGAATAGGTAAAGAGACCAAAAATGTGCTTAACTGGAGTAAGTTGATACATGTAAATGAGATCACACAAGCTAAGCATATCAGAAAAAGTTTGATGATATCACAACCTCCACTCCACCCTGAAGTTCATTATCTTATACTGATACAATGCATGTTTTATTGAAAATGATAATATTATTTAACCCTAAATGGACTTTATCAAACTGTATTGAAACCCCCCTATTGCATTGAAGGCTAGGGCCTCGGTGGCTCGATGGCCGAGTGGTCTTAAGTAGTTCTACTACTGGAATCACTAGTCAGTCAACACTGAGGTTGTGAGTTCGAATCCCGCTCGTATGGGTACACTCGACTCCAATCTCGAAGGTCGGTGGTTTTCTCCAGAAACTCCGGCTTCCTCCACCAATAAAAACTTGCCGCCAAGAAATAGCCCCAAAATGGTGCTTAAAAGTGGCGTTAAAACATCAAAAAATCAAAAATCAAATTAAACACTGCTATACACGAGGATGTGCAAAACATTTTGTTATACATTTTGGGAAAAATTAAGAGAAAATAAAAGAGAAGCTATTCAGTAAATTTTGCAATTGAAATTATTAGTTCCATGATATTTATAGTAGGTTAAAAAATTATGTGTTTCTTATTGGTCTGTCTTGTTTGATCTTTTAGTTTTTGTTAGGTATTTTGCCATTTTGCTGTGCCTTTAGATTTGATTGCTTTTATTGTGTTGGGGCCATCCAGAGCTGACTGCCTGTTGGTTGGTAGTTCCCGCTCTGTTGAAGGTTATGTGGTAAGCTCTGGGTGTCTTTTTGTGCATTTAATACATTGGGTGATTCGGTGATGTCTTCGTGCCATTGCCCCAT